TCTTAGACGTTGGATTATAGTCATTTAGTGATACAAATTGTGATATTTAACAACAATACATATGTCAAAACATGATTACAAGCTATATGGAGACAATGTATTTTGACTGCGCGAAATGCGTGTTACATACTGAACGCTTGTTTAAAGAGCATTATCGCGCGCATTACTATAAGATACGCATACCGAATTCGCCATGCAGACATTAGCATTACTCCCGTAATAAGGCTCGGTTCAGACGGCGACATTTTCAAGCGCTTCATTTCTTACGGCACAACCGCAGAAGTTCGGCAACTGATTTAGAGTTTAGACGCCGCTATTCTAGATCTGTCGTACTTATATATCGTTGTATTACGGGTTCGGCGCATGAGAAAGTTCGCCGTCTAAACCGAGTCGGTCTAAGGCTCAAGGCTGTCTGCATGGCGAATTCGGTATGCGCGCGTATCTCAGTTATTAGCGACCTTAAGATTCTACGACGCGGCAGTCTACAACGCCACCGGAAGTAAATTTGTAGCAACTGAGCATGCGCGTACGTTCTTGCTCAGCGAATCTAATCTACGACGACGCCGTTTTGCAGTTTTCACGTCGTCGTAGATTTTCTACCAAAATAAGAACAAAAATGGAAAAAAATACTATATCTGAGAATGATGTCGAATTTTGCAAAGAGGTTATTGCTTCCAAGCTTTTTGAAACCAAGAAAAGGTCGGCAGAAAGAGCTCAGGTATGGGAAGCTATTGCAAAAAAAATGGAAAAAGTGGAATATCCTAAATTCAAGGTGGAGCAACGTTCTGTCAGAGACAGATTGAAAAAACTAATCAAACAGTTTCGGAAAGAGGAAAACGATGAAAGACGAGCCAGTGGAATTTCACCTGAATTAACAGAATTGGACACACTGCTGGAGGCGATAAGTGAAAAAGAGGAAGCATCAGAAACCTTGGCTGCAGATATGGGAGAAAGGGAAAAGAGGCGTTTGGAAGAAGATCACATGGCAGGACAAGAGATGCGAAAAAGAGCCATGGAAACTTTATCCGAGACCCAGAAAAGAAATACAAAAATAGATCAAGATAGTCCCAAACGCAAAGTCAGAAAGGGTGGTAATACAGCCTTGGC